TAGTATCTACTAAGGAAGGTTAACATGCAAATTATGGTATTATAACATGTACAGGTGACAGAAAACTTGGCATAGATGAAAATGTGTCCCCACAGATCAATCTCACCAGTGCAATACTATGCAAGATCACATGTTAGGGGAATTCACTCAGAGAGATACAGCTTTCATAAATTCAGCGATGTGAAAAAGGAAATGATATGTTTTCTTAGGGAAATACATACATGATAAAGAGTAATTTAGAAAGCAAGAAATGATAAACACAAAATCCAGGCGAGTGGCTACTACTTATGAGGGAAGAAAAGGGGGTGCCACCAGGAAGGATGCAGGGAGGGATCAGAGGTAGAGCACTCAGTCCCTCAGCTGAGGGCGAGGCTCAGACATCTGTGTTGCACTGAAACATGAAGATCTATATTATCTATACTCTTTGCATGCATATTTCATGGCTTAAAAATGAAACACCAATACAAAATTTTGTCTGGTCCTTTCTGGAAGGAAAATAGACCTGAATAGATGGGGTGGGGTGATGGTAAGGAAACTCTCCACATAAAAAGCACAAATACAAACAGAAAACAAAAAGCTGTGTATCTCACCATATTGATAACCAAACTGTCAACATTTCCTACTCAGCCTTAAAAGATTAGATTGCCAAGGGCTGGAAGAGTGACTGAGGTGGTAGAGCGCCTGTCCAGCAAACATCAGATCCTCAGTTCAAACCCCAGTACCACCAAAAAAAAAAATTAGATTGCCACTCACTGATGAAGAGTCTCTCTTGGCAGCCAAAAAAAAAAAAAAAAAGTATCTTTACTTATTATGATGCTAAGATTTCACTGGCAGTATCTTCAGTCACTTGTACTGTTTCTTGAAGGAAAAGAAATGTTACACAGTCTGATGCAACGGATTCTCTTTTAAAAATCCAGTTTCTTTATTAGTTGAAAAAAATGAATAGAACTGCTTAATTCCTATTGTGATGCTTGTGTTGAATAACTGATCATCTTTGGACACTAAACACAGTTTTTATACTTATGCTATGGTTTGTATCTGGAATGTTCCTCAAAGGCTCATGTGTTGAAGTACAGGCTTAGTCCCCAGTGCAGCAGTGTTCAGGGGTGGGGCCTTTGGGAGGTGACTGGACCATCAACGGATTAATGCATTTACATATTCACAACTTCCTGGGTTTCAGGGATGGGGCCTTGTTATAAAAGTCACCCCTCTGCCTGTCCACCACCATGAGGTGACAGCTTTGTCCTACCACAGGTGTCTGCCATGATGCTTTGCCTCACAACAGGCCCCCCAAAACACAGAGCCAAGCAACCATGGGCTGAGAACTCTGAAACCATAAGCCAAAACAGATCTTCCCTCCTGTAAACTGATTTTCTCAGGTATTTTGTCCAAAGATGGAAACCAATTAACACAACTTACATATTCAGATCTTCCAGGTTTAACTATAAGCTGCTAAGAAGGTTTGAAAAAGATCCCAAAGAGACAGAAGTAAGGAAAAGGATATGCCTTTAACATAGTCTTTAGGAAACCAGGAATCAGAACTATTATTTTATAAAAGGAAGTCAGGTAGTTCTTTAAAGGACTTAATTCGCTCATGGCTTGTCAGTATAAAGAGGACGGATTTCTTGTGAGAAAAGTCAGGGTAGGAGTGGATGGAAGGTTGAAACTGGACACCGGGAACCTCACGAAAAGCCACAGTGGTGAGGACAGACAGCTGAAGACGCCTCTGGGTGCAGGCTCCATTGCCCAGGTTACCACCCAGGGCTCAGGGTGGGTGTTGAGGGAAGGCAAGATAAAGGGGCCACCTTTCCCTGCCACCTCCTGTCACAACAGTTGAGTGAGACCTTATAACCTGTTGACACTCAGGAGAGGTGCTCCTGAGGAGAATGGGAAGGTATCAAGTAACACCAGGAAGAAGAAAGGACACTGCCTCCGTAGCCAGCTCACTTCATCTCTCAAAATCACAGATTCCCTGCCCACTTTCCTAGGCTGCTCTACTCCATTCTTCACACTTGGGCAACATGACTTACCAATCGATTTTCATCAAATACTTCAAAAAGGAGCCGGTGCTGCTGAGGATGGACCTAAGTAAGGAAAACACAGAGCATCAATCCACAGACAGCAGAAATGCATGCTTTAAAAATCACTCTTTGAGGACTACTGTTACTCAGGGTGTATTTTAAATTACACACGATACATGAAAAATACATAGTAACAAAAATGTAACCTGATTGTTGAATGTTTATGTATTTTGTCTACAGAAGCAATAGATAAGTTTTCTGTTTTATCACAGTTCAGTATGGACTAGATTATCAGAAATCAGATGTACAGAGAAAGAAAATGAGGTAGGTTAGGGAACAAAAGAAAACAGCTTTCAAAACTTTAAGTAGCAACCTTAGAAATGATTAGGAAAGTCTTAAATCCACAAGACAAAAACAGGATATGACAGAACGGGAACTACCAGATATCAAAGAAGAGAGCATCTAAAAATTACTGTTGAGTTTAAATAGAAGCACTGCAAGGCAAATTGGTGGAACGTCCCCAAAATATAGAACAAAAAGCTAAGCCAAAGGAAAGAAAAAGGGCTGGAGAAGTGGCTCAAGTGGTAGAACACCTGCCTAGCAAGTGTGAGGCCCTGAGTTCAAATGCCAGTACCACTAAAAAAAATTAAAAAGTCTC